ACATCTGGAGAAGACATGAAGATATTAGACAATAGACACGGCGCAGTGTGTAAATGCTACATTTATATTACACATTTACATTGCATCTGAAATCGCATTCTCACTGAGTAGGTGCTACATTTATGGTCTATATATACTGTATATGATTCGCTGACGGTAATTCTAAAATAAACGCCCGTTTGTTATGAAATGGTTATATTTCAAAAATTATTTTTATTTAGGGTCAATATATGTAGCCTATACACACACACACATCCGCACCACTGCGGCGATAAAAAACTGCAAACCTAAAGTGACCTTCCCATCTCTGTCGGTGTCCCACTAAAGACCCTTTTATCTTTACTGGTTTCAGCTCGGTCTCCTTAGATAAACGCACAAGGACACTGGCACTGAATGGGCGTTTTCTGCTCAGTGATGAGTCGTCCTGTAGATGAGCTCCTCCAAGTAAATCAGGCACAAGCTAAAGCAATTAGCATGGAAGGAAATTATGCTAATAAGTCTGAGGACCTTGTTAGGTCATTTTCATTATCCGTGTTATACCATGACTCAGGGCAGCCTTTCACCGTATGAAGATTAATTATTGTCCAAAGAGAAAATATGTAGGATTTGATATCCCACTGCCCATGGATGAATCTCACAAACACTGGCCCAATCAGGACATAATAATAAGAATAATAACAACAGTGTTATTACTCTTTCCATTCAAAATGTATAAATAAATACAACTTGAGGATTTGTTGTAGATCAAGAGATGATTAAATGAAAAATCTTTCCAAGTTAAACAATTAACATGATGCAGTTCTCTCCAAAAGCATTTGTACAGAATACATGTGTGTAGCCTTTCTAATTTCTTCACAATAATGAACAGTTCTGCTTTGAATAAAGTTGAATTGCTATGAATCTAACAACTAGTTCTTCCTCACAAACACTCATTATATCATCCTGACACAACTCAAGTTAATGCAATATCATATGCATCATCAAGTGAATAGACTGTGGATGCTCACACTCTTAGAAGAAAATGGTTCTGTTTAGAACCAAAAATGGTTCCATCCCCCACTTCATATATGGAACTATATAGAACCATTTTTTTGGTAAAAGGTTCTATTGGCCAAGTATGGAACCCCAGGGTTCTACACTCTAAAAAATGCTGGGTTGTTTTAACCCAATTTTGGGTCAAATATGGACAAACCCGAAATGTTGGGTTAAAAATGTAATGTAAAAATTTAACCCAACGGCTGGGTTAGTCCATATTTGACCCAAAGTTGGGTTAAAACAACCCAGCATTTTTTAGAGTGTATATAGAACCCAGAGGAACCCTTTTTTAAGAGTGTATAGAACCTTTTAGGGGTTCCAAATACGTAGCGCTGATAGAACCTTTCAAGGTTCTATATAGAAGAATAAGAGTGTACATACTGAACAAAAATATTTAAACCCCACGATTCTTTGTTTCTGTCACAATCTGAGCTCGGGTTACAGTGGCTCAATATACTAAAGCTTTAACAGGACCATAAATAGCCAACCAGTGAAACTGCTAATCAAACATTTACAGAAACTTTTTACAGTGTCAATATGCATTAGCCTCTGAATGATTGCCACTTGGCGGATTGATTAACTCCAGCTCTCAGGGAAACCTGAACCATTATGGCATCTAAATTATCATGGCTGTCAATGTTACAACCAGAAGGGATTGACATGTGGATAGACAGCCTTGAATAGTGAGAGTCTGTCCTTTTTCTGAGCGGATGAGTGAAGATGAGTTAGTGTGTGAGCTGTACTGTAAGACAGGCTGAGTCAGCTAATTAAAGGCTCTGAGTCTTTTAATCGACTGGGTTTAGAAAGAAAGGGGAAGTTTACCATCCCTCAGCTGTGTGTGTGTGTGTGGATATAGTTCAGTACCTTCTGGATAGATTCATCAAACTATTCTAGTTCTGCGGCGGATGATTTCAACAAAGACGTGTTTTCGAAATGTCATAATAGTGATCCATGCAACTTGTGAGCTATATTGCAAATTGTTCTTCTAGAGCTACACAATGAATCTGAATCTGTGTGAGGAACAAATTTGAGTAAATTCAGTCACAACTCTCAAATCTCATTCGCCTTTGAACACAGTCAAACTCGACAGCTGATGACAGGTCATGTCAGGTTTGAAGTCAATGACTGCCTCAGAAGATGTGGAATATAACACGAGTCACGTAGACTGCTTTTATGGAGTGTGTGTGTGTGTGTGCGTGTGCGTGTGTTTTTCTACTTTAAAGCTCAGAAGTGTGAATCCCCATCTGTGATGGAAAAGAAAAGTCTCATGTACTGTACCTAGACTTTTAACTTTTGGCATAAAAACTGGTCTCCTTGGTAGTTTATTCTTCTCGCCGAAAGTCACGTATAGATTCATATTACATTTAGGATTGGCTTATCTGAGATTGCCGATATCCAAATAGTTTAGTGTGGGGACAACAAGTTCAAAAAATGAATCTGTGCATTTAAACATACTAACTTATTTCACGGACATGAGTGGACATCTGACATCTTGTGATTGATTTTTCCACAAACGTTTTTCAGATACCTTGTTTACTTCCACAATATCTATCAGTACTTTTTTGTACATTTTAAAGCCTATTAAACACCTGAACAAATATAATTATTATTGAATGGTCATACTGTAAAAAAAAATATTGTTGGTTTAACTTAAAAAAATGAAGTAACCTGGTTGCCTTAAAATTTTACATTCATTGAAATGGAGTTAATACAATTAAGGAGATTAATTTAATCATCAAAAACTCAAAATATTATGTTATCTGAACTACATAAATTATTTAAGTTGATTTGACAAAAGAAAAAATGTGTCGAAAACATCAAGAGGACGGGGAAGTCATGTGATTTTAATGTTGCCTGGATCAAGGACCAAGTGTTTTGAAAAATTCACTCTGTAATTAAAAAAAAAACTGTTTAAAAACAAGGTAATAAATAATTACATAACTTTTTTTTTTGGTTGGTTTACATTATACTGTATGTTAACTATTGAAATAATGTCTGACATGTGAACCTTTGTAATCATGTAAACATCTTGAAAATGTTCTTATGTAAATGTACGTTTACATAAGAACGGATTATTTTGAATGGATTAAATCCAGAGAGAAAGCTGACGCTCATTGAGTAATTATGTATAAAGGGCAGACATAATAATCATAGGCTTCAGTTATGCATGTATATATATATTTATTTTTTTATTTTTTTATTTTTTTTTTAATTATGTGTGAGGACCAAAATCAATTTTGTTGATTGATGAAACAAATTTTCATAGGACTGCTTTTTATATTATTAATTAATAAGATATTTGAGCCCTTTTAGGGTGTGTTGACACTGTTCAGGTTTGATTAGATTAAAACGAACTTTGGTGCGATTGTGAACACACGCTTGATGACCTTAAATTCTGAAAAGTGATTAAAAGTCTTCACTACTACTCCTATTGTGTTTCACAGAACAAAGAAAGTCAGACAGATTAGAAATGACATGAGTGTGAGTGAATCTGGACAGAATCCAAGTTTTCATTTATCATAGCTGTGTACATTTCTCTCTAAACAGGACGTAGAACAACGAGTCCAGTGAAATGTCATTGTGTGGTGTCCCATGAGAGTTATTTTGGCAGGTTGGTTTGTTTTGGCATGCGAGTTCTCCTCTTTCCTCGGTTTCCGTCTCACCCAGCCTCTAGTGAGTTCATATCTTGGCCCTTTTCCCGGCTAGGAGAGCCAGTGTTGAGGAAGAACTGGGAAAGAGCCAGTATGCTGATATCAGACGGTTTTTAGATCACTACAGCAGAGTCCCTGTTTATCACACACACACTTCAGATCGCAGCGTACCCTGCAGGTTGTGGGTTCAAACTCTCGTGGGAATATAGTGTTATCCACCGGCAGAGCAAACAACTTCCTACAGCTCACACCGGCATTATTAACAAACAAACTCTATTATTATCACATTGACTGCATTTCCATATTATTCTTTTCTGATGTCTTAAAGTAGTTCACTTTAAAAAAAAAAAATCCATGTCATTCTTGGATCCATGAAATTAAGGCACGTTTGTGACTCTCCTGTTCAAACTCGTTCATCAAAATGAACAAATCTTTTTTCGTGTCATTTGGTTCATTCATCGAATGAAATAAATGACTTGACTCTGAAAAAGATGCGAGCATTTGTGCTTATACAACTTAAACTTTGTTATTTATTTATTAAATGAGCGATCGTTTCGCTTGATAAGACCCTTATTCATCGTCTGGTGTCGTTTAAAGCCCTTTGAACAGTTTGCACTGAAACTGTCTTTTGGACTTTGAACCGTTTGGACCCCATTGAAGTCCATTATATGGAGAAAATCCTGGATTGTTTTCATCAAAAACCTTCATTTCTTTTCGACTGAAGAAAGAAAGACATGGACATCTCGGATGACATGGGGGTGAGTAAATTATCAGCAAAAGTTTTTTTTTGTTTTTTTTTGTTTTTTAAGTGAACTACTCCTTTAAGTCATAACTAAAGGCTAAAGTGTCTGTATCAGGTAAGTAACATAAAACAAAAATCAGTGTAAAATTAAAATAAAAAAACACCACTATCCATGTAATCATGCATATAGGAGTGGCTTTCGATGTTGAAGTCAAAGGCTGTGGTCCAATCAAACTCTACTGTATTTTGGCACAGATTCATCTGTCACTTAGTAAAGCCAAAAGAAGCAGATGCCAGCATGTCCGGGTCGTGTGGCATGACCTCATCCGAATACTTGAATAAACAACACAGACTGCATTCAATATGAGATCATTCGAAACAAGGGTACACATGGTGTGTGCTGTTCTGTGTGGCAAATTATTGTAAATTACAATGTATAATATTACATTTAGTTTACTTATGAGAAACAATTTAGCGCCACATGATGCCATGTCAAATCTGAGTCTTGAAGCACAGCCAGCTGGAAACCACTGTCCTGTACGCTAACAAAACATGCTGTAAGAGCTTCTTACTGTCATGAAACCGTCCAGTAGCCCAGAGTCTGGTTTAGGAGGAGCCTGTAGACGCTCCATGGACCACTTCTCGATGATGGAGGACACCTGGCTGTTCTCGGTGTTTAGGATACGGAAGCCTGTCATGTTGACCCCGCTGTAGCGATAAGGTTCCACATCCAACGCGAAGAGATCCTAGAGAATATGAAACACGCACACAAATTTTACCACATTACATTTTAACACACTCTAAAAAATAGTGGGGTTGTTTTAACCCAACTTTGGGTCAAATATGGACAATCCCAGCCACTGGGTTACATTTTTAATTACATTTTTAACCCAACATTTGAGTTTGTCCATATTTGACCCAAAGTTGGGTTAAAGCAACCCAGCATTTTTAGAGTGCACACATCACAATTACATTGACACACTAAACAACGCTGGGTTGTTTTAACCCAAATTTGGGTCAAATATGGACAAACCCAAATGTTGGGTTAAAAATGAAATTTGTTTTTATGACATTTTTAACCCACCTTTTGGGTTTGTCCACATTTGACCCAAATTTGGGTTGAAACAACCCAAAATTTTTTAGAGTGCATACAAGCTCTATTCCAAAAACTAGAGAACTAACCTAAAGAATATGAAACGCACACACACACACACACACACACACAAATTAACACAATAGCTGTGTCTGTTACATTTGTACCACATTACATTTTAATACACATATCAATTACACTGAAATACAAGCTCTATTCCCAAAACTAGTGAGCTGTGTTGATGTCAAATGCAAAAATAGAACATTTACCAGCCTTTAAACTGTATTTGCATTTTTGAAATATATATGTTGTCCTTCAGTTTTTCTTAGTGACATACATTAGCTAAAAATGTGTATCAATTAAGTGACCAACAAGTACTGTAAAAAAAAGAGTCAATTTACATTAGATTTAACTACTGTATCAATGCTTTATGTGTTGAATTAAATACAAGTACATAACAATAGCTTAAATCTTAATAAACATTTTTAATACAAGTTAGGCCTGCAAATTGGACTGCGAGACAAAAAAAAAGCCATTTATGATAATAATCTAATGTTGTCTTGGTCTCAGTCAGAGTAAAACACATCACTGGTGAAAATAAGAAACAACACCAGGAAAAACAAATCCATTTAAGGAATTTAATGGCCTGAAATGCAAATTATTTTATGGATATCGCTGTGGGTTTGAATGCGTTCTATAATATAAAGATCCATACGTAACTTACCAGGGTAGTAAAAATGTAGTGGTAATACTCTGTCATCATCCCCATAGCGAGAGCCTGAGAAAATAAGAATTGAAATCATGTTGAGACAAGGGAACAGTAACAATGCTTCTGAAAATGTGCAATTTATCACTGAATCGAAGGATAGGCAGGCGAAAATAATGGCATTTGTTGTTTATATGATGTTTTGTGGCTCGTAATAATTTTATATGCTGAGGGACTGTGAGCTGAAATCATGTGAAGCGTTCTGTCTCTCCACTGAAACACCCTGAGCTCTCTTTATTGCCTGTAAATACTGCACAGAAGTGACTTCCCGGCAAAGTCTGTGTGCAACCTCTAAATAAACCAAATTCTGAAAATCTGATATATTTTTTATTATAAAATAATTATTTTATTTAGTGTATGTATTTATTTTATTTAAGAATTATTGTATTTAGTGTATGTATTTAACAATTATTGTATTTAGTGTAATTAGACAACATGCAAAATAATCCAATGAACTGCATAAATCAATGTGTGCTAAGAAAAAACCAAGATGAAGAAAATGGAAGCCATACATTAATCAGACGATTGAGGTATTGACATTTTAAAAGTGTCTTTAGAAGTCAATATACACTCACCTAAAGGATTATTCTCATTTATTTAATTATCTAATCAACCAATCACATGGCAGTTGCTTCAACACATTTAGGGGTGTGGTCCTGGTCAAGACAATCTCCTGAACTCCAAACTGAATGTCAGAATGGGAAAGAAAGGGGATTTAAGCAATTTTGAGCGTGGCATGGTTGTTGGTCTGAGTATTTCACAATCTGCTCAGTTACTGGGATTTTCACGCACAACCATTTCTAGGGTTTACAAAGAATGGTGTGAAAAGGGAAAAACATCCAGTATGCGGCAGTCCTGTGGGCCAAAATGCCTTGTTGATGCGAGAGGTCAGAGGAGAATGGGCCGACTGATTCAAGCTGATAGAAGAGCAACTTTGACTGAAATAACCACTCGTTACAACCGAGGTATGCAGACAACACACACAACCTTGAGGCGGATGGGCTACAACAGCAGAAGACCCCACCGGGTACCACTCATCTCCACTACAAATAGGAAAAAGAGGCGACAATTTGCAAGAGCTCACCAAAACTGGACAGTTGAAGACTGGAAAAATGTTGCCTGGTCTGATGAGTCTGGATTTCTGTTGAGACATTCAGATGGTAGAGGCAGAATTTGGCGTAAACAGAATGAGAACATGGACCCATCATGCCTTGTTCCCACTGTGCAGGCTGGTGGTGGTGGTGTAATGGTGTGGGGGATGTTTTCTTGGCACACTTTAGGCCCCTTAGTGCCAATTGGGCATCGTTTAAATGCCACGCCCTACCTGAGCATTGTTTCTGACCATGTCCATCCCTTTATGGCCACCATGTCCCCATCCTCTGATGGCTACTTCCAGCAGGATAATGCACCATGAATCATTTCAAATTGGTTTCTTGAACATGACAATGAGTTGACTGTACTAAAATGGCCGCCACAGTCACCAGATCTCAACCCAATAGAGCATCTTTGGGATGTGGTGGAACGGGAGCTTCATCCCACAAATCTCCATCAACTGCAAGATGCTCTCCTATCAATATGGGCCAACATTTCTAAAGAATGCTTTCAGCACCTTGTTGAATCAATGCCACGTAGAATTAAGGCGAAAGGGGGTCAAACACAGTATTGGTATGGCGTTCCTAATAATCCTTTAGGTGAGTGTATTGTTTCTTTTATTTGTAATCCGACAGTCCACATCATTCCAATCCAATTGCCAATCAAGTTTGTCACTATGGCAGGTCCGTTCATTCGAAAGAGGTCATTTTCAGTCTCAACAAGATTTATCTTCACTTTACGTCCATCAGCTGGATATCTTTGGGGGAAAACACATCTCGAAACCCCATATTCAGCTGCGCTCAGTCTAGCTTTCTCTGACCGCAAGAATGTGTCCTTTGTTACTGGCTCATAACTCATTCTGTGCTGTCTGCTCTTGGTAAGTGTGGCTTGGCGAAGTGTGTTTCCTGGAGTAGCGGAGCAGTGAAGAATTCACAGAAACCTTGAATTCTTGGAAGGAAACATCCTTAATATAGAATTAATGAACGGTTCAGGTGGCCGTACTGAAGAGTGGATTTGGGACGGACATTGTGGGGGCTTGAACAAAGAAACATGAATCGACTGTGTCGTTCATTTATTTAAAGTGAAAATCATGGTTTCTGGTTTAAACCGGTTTCGCAGTTTGGCTAAAACTCCACATCTGGTATGCATTGAATCAATATACCAGATGTGGCCCGGATCTGGGCCGAAACTATGTTCCTGTCGGGGAAATTAGAAAACCATTCTTTTAAATTCTAATACTATTTCAAAAATAATATTTGTCTTACTGAATTTTTTTATTAAATAAAAGCAGCGTTGGTGTGCCGAAGAAAATTGTTTCAGCAACATTAATACAGTACTGTAGCAATAATGTAATACAATAAAAATGATAAAAAAGACATCATCAGTTTGTAATGCAACTTATGTTTTTAAATTTAACCTACTTCAACTTTTTTTAGAAGTTATATAGGATTGAACTTTTCTTTGTAAGTAAATTTTGTATAATTTAAGTTGAACTGACTTGTAAAGCCAGTTTGCTTACACTTAAAAATGTAAGGCAGCTACTGAACTTAATAACAGTGTTATAATATTAATAATAAGTTCATTAAATCGCAGATATGCATCAGGAGTAGTTTAAAGCACTGAGCTCAGCATTGACGTATTTAAAAAAGAGAAGCAGATGGGGTTTTATTTTGCTCAATGCTTGTTTGTCTCCATAGCTGTAATGAGCTCTCGGGTTCCCACGCCAACCCAACCACGCATTCACACGGCATTTCTCGCAGACTGACAGACAACTCAATCCATAACAATAATTAATTTATGGGACAAGCTGTTGTGTTGCTAAACGCTGGAACAACAATCATCTAAACCCAAGTGTCAGCCTGTTGCATTCGCTCTATTTAGTGCGCACTTCAGGGCGATGTAAAACACCCATGATTCGACTCTGTGGAAGTGCGCCTGGTAACAGCTGCTACATCACAGATCCGGTATTAGCACGTGAGCTAATTGTGCCTGCGCTGTGCGACGCATGGAAATAGATGTCTTTAACATTGCTCACCCTGTGATATCTTCAGCTGTATTACCAGGAGCTGCTGGGCGACGTGTGTGCGTGACTCAGACTGCAAGAACGATTATAAATCACACATTATTACTGTTGTCAGCCTGGCGAGGGTGATTAGAATGGGTAGAGGTCAGGTCAGTAATTGCATTTGTTGTTGTGTGGTCCAGCGCTGTTAATAACAGGTGGTATTGTGTCCAGATGGACTGGAAAACCTTCAGGAGAAACTCATATTTGCTCGGATGAGCCAGCAGCACTTGCACCATTACTGAGTAAAACTGTAGATAAGATAGCCAGCGGGAGAGCATGGGTTAAAACTGACACAATTTAGATCATTATAGCTCTAAACCTATTCTAAAAAAGGGTTCATATGATGAAAATACCAGTCACAGAGAAGTAATAAGAACGGAATTAGGTTAGATAGTACTACACTCTTAGAAGAAATGGTTCTATTTAGAACCAGAAATGGTTCCATCCCCCGCTTCATATATGGAACTCCGAAATGGTTCTATATAGAACCATTTTTTTGGTAAAAGGTTCTATTGGCCAAGTATGGAACCCCAGGGTTCTATATAGAACCCAGAGGAACCCTTTTTTTAAGAGTATATGAATGAGTGTATGAATGGGTGAATGTGAGGCAAATGTAAAGCGCTTTGGTGCCCATTAGGTCTATGAAGCGATATATAAATGCAGTCCATTTACCATCTAACTGACGCTTTACATTTAGCGTCAGTTAGATGACGCCCTAGGATCGCATCATATAACTGACGCTAAAGGGTGCCTAAAGCGCATAGCTGTCAACATTTAACATTGAAAATAAGGGGGTTTTCCCGGAATCCATCCCCAAAATAAGGGATTTTTTTTTTCACGATTCTTACCCACAAACTAAAAATAAAGCACTAATCCTTAAAAGTCTAAAGGGTTTATAACTAGCCTAGAAACTAGTGTCATTTAAAGAAAAAAAAAAATCTACATTTCGATTAGCGGTGTGTTGCTCTTGCCTTTACGACAACAATTTCAACTGTTAGCCTATCACATCTTCCACAATCCAGGTGGGCTGTCTGTTTATTTCAATTACATTTTGTGTAGCTTTAAAGAGCCTATATTTAGCCTGGTGGTCCATCTCTCAGAAGACACTGTTGTTATTGTAGCCTATCCTATCTTTATATCCTCCTTTTTTCAAAAGTTTTTTTTCTTCTTCATGTAATCACATTGTTAAGAGCATAAGAAACAAATGACAAAAAGAAAAGGTATTTTATTCATATACTATATGAAATTAAATTATATATAGGCAAAACTAATGGTAATATTTGAATATCGATTATTATAATTATTATTTGTTTAAATTTCATTGATATCTGAATTTAGGTAAAAACCTTGAATGTAAACCTTGAATCAAAATGTAAAATGTAGGCTATTCGAGTACAAAATGACATATAAACATCGTTTCTTATTTTTTATATATTTATTTTTTTGCCTGGAAACGCTTTCAACAGGCTTGCGTGTCGCGTGAAATATAGGCGTCACTTCGATTTCTAGCATGCACGCGTTTTTTTGTCACGCGGGCAGTGTGCAAGCTCTAATCTGTTAACATGGGAGCCGAAATAAAAACGGACACGCCACGCAGCCAGTGTGTCTCCGGCCAGCGCGCGCGGCGCCGCATCCGAGGATAAACGACTTCAAGCCGAATCTGTCCGAGCTCGTACGTCTCACAAAATCAGAGTAAAAATACGGGATATTTTACGGGAAAATACTAAAACGGGAAGACAGCGGGAAAAGAGCAAAAATACGTGAGAAACCCGAAAAAACGGGAGGGTTGACAGCTACGCTAAAGCGTCAGATATTGAAGCATGGTCAAAATTGTCAGTTAGATGTTGTCTTGGGATGAGAATGTGTTGCAATGCTAGTATAATTCATTTTCATATACAATAAAATTAGACTAACAATTTATATCTGTAAAAACAACAACAACAAAAGGATCTTACTGAAACACATTCTTTTATTCCATTAGATAAAAAAAAATATAATAATCTATTCTAATAGGTTCAAATATATGAACTATTACATCATTGCTAGACCCAGTTATCATTGCCATCATCAGCCCCAAAGTGAAATGAATAATTAAATGCAGTCTTGTGTGAAACATATGGTCGGGAAATAATGGCTCTGTAGCCTGAGCAGATTTTGCGAAGTTCGAAAGAGTAGACGACTTCACAAAGCCAAAAGTTTCAAATGTGGATATTACACAAATCCTCCGAGAGCTGCCCATTACAGACGCATATATCCACTGCCACTAATAACGAGTATCTTCATTATCACTTCAGTGGTCGGAAACTGATTAAGAAGGTCTGTGAGTCAATCTCTGGCTGAGTAATACCCACTTTAATATTTGATTATTCCTGTAATTGGGGGAAATTCGTGCAGTTAAGTCACACATTGAAATATCTCTTTGGGTTTCTTTAATGTGAGACTGTTCACAGAACTCTAGCAGGAATGCATATCCTAATCCATTTGGCAAATATTATTTAATCAAGCTTTGTAAGGAATTTAAAATGCACTGCTTACATCCCATGATGTAAATATACTGTAAAAAGCACTTAATCTGATTGAAGCGCCTTTTCTTGGAGGACACTTAACATCATGAGCATTATACGGACTAATTCTATGCAAACATACTGACTAGCAGAGCGTGTAAGCTTGACGGGCTGATTGGTAATCAATGAAACCTGAACACTTCACTGATTGTGTACAAATCAATCTCACACACAAGATCAAAAGAGACATTGAATTAACAGTTCAAAAACAATGCATGCACTTTTCACCTTCAAGGCATGAAAAGAGGATCAAATCACCATGAACAGAGCTTGTAATCGTACAAACAAGCTTACCATAGGCTCAGAAACACCAGGGCCCCGTTCTTCCAACGTGATCTCATGAGAATACGTATGTATTTGTACATAAAGTGTAGTTCTATCATACGTACATATATAATATGCGCAGAAACATATAATACTGACGTATTTAAAGTACTAAAACATAAAATATTTACGTATTGACAGCACAAAAACGTAATTTATTTACATACGAACAAATCCACCGATGTACACATTTGTACGTATCACGATTTATTTATATTAAAATCGTAGCATTATGTTTTGACTCTATTGCATTCCACTGTCTTATTAATTAAGCTTTCAGTCGCATTTATTGATATAATACTCATAAATATTAACATTTGCTCATTTCGCCTGCATGCCCAGACAGCAAACTGACATTGAATCAACGTGGAAACGACGTCTCTCATGACATTGAAACAACGTTGATTTTGCTCATCGAATTAACGTTGAACCAACGTCAGACGCGGGATTCTTCAAAGCTAAATGAAAATCGAAAATTGGTTTGCTTGCATAACGTTGAAACAACGCGTTGATTTCAAGTTGATTTTCCGTTAGTTTTGAAAGAATGACGCGTCTGACGTTGGTTCAACGTTAATTCGATGAGCAAAACAATGTCAGATCAACGTTGTTTCGATGTCATGTTTCCACGTTGATTCAATGTCAGTTTGCTATCTGGGTGGTGTTAAAACAATACACTATAAAACCTTAAAAATACATTCTTTAACGTTACTCGTTTAACCATTTTGTAATATAGTTTACCCTGAGACAGATAAAGCGTTTTCTCCTACTATAAAACAAAACAAAAATTCACAAAAGACATCAATTTTATTATTTTGATGTAATCCAAATCTTTAGAATCCATAGCCTTCGTTGTTTGCAAGAAACAACTCCTAATTCAGCCTTTTATCCAGTCGTGATCTTTCCATTCTCAGCAGCGACCGTACACGTCAAATCCCGCGCTGGTGATGAATTCAAATTCCAAAATTGAGAAGCGATACGTCATGTTTTACAGCAGTGATATCAAACGTTCATTGGCTCTTCCCTGCTTCGTCACAGATTGCGACATTAAGGACTCGGCGACGGTTGGTTTAGTTCATTTGAAATGGAGAAGCGCGAACCGAAGCCGGATTAACATTTTCATTGATTAGTAATTTAATTTCTGCTCTGTACTTCATACAAAACTATTACAATACTGCCAGAGAGGACTGCGACTGCAACGCTTAATCATCTGAACGGCTTTTGGTATCGGTTTTGACATTTTTGCAATAAATAAATTATTGTGATTATACTTGTCTGTTAGTTATGTTTTTCATCATAATTGTAGTTTACGTAGTTTTAAGGAATTGTTATAGGGGTAGGAGTAGGATTGGTGGCTCAAAATATATTTTAATGCTATACTGTTAATAAAACTGCCATTTCCCAACACATCTGTCTGTTACGTTTTATCCTTTTTTATATTCTGTATAAAATGGGTGTTTGGGATTAGGGTTACGGGATCTTACATTTATCTATAAAATGGTAAAAAGGGAAATTATATAGATGTCTTCATGATATAGAATATACATTAATAGTTAATGTTTTGTAGCTGTAAAAACGTAATAATGTTACGTTTAAATGTTGCAAATACGTCTATATTATACGTTTCAGCATCTATCCAAATGTACTAAAAAGTGTGAATTTTTGCAAAAAAACGTAAAATACCTACGTATTAACAATGAGACCTAGGGTGCGTTTCCCGAAAGCATCATTAGCCAAATATGGTCGCAAGTTGGTCGCAATTTCCATTGAACTCTATTGGTAACGACGGAACCATAGTTGGCTAACGATGTTTTCGGGAAACGCACCCCAGGCTGGTTCTTCACATGTTGCTTAGCAAATGCAAAATTTATAATTTCTGCTTAATCATATCCGGCTAATTTTGTTTTTCACATTGTCACAATTATGTTCTATTAGTTTCACTTTTATTGACTTTAAGTTTCTTTTGTTCTAGTTTCCCCACATTCGTTACTCGTTTCCATGGACACTCATTAATTATCACAGCTGTTTGTTATTAGATCACCACCAATGTGTATTTAAGCTCCTCACTTCCTCTCCATCAGTAATGACTCGACTGAAGGTGAGCTTGACGAACCCGAGTGCAGTATTTATTTAACATAAATGTGTACAAAATAAACAAATACTTGACTAAGCATGACTTGACATAAACTAACACTCACCAAAAAGACAATCAATACTAAAAAATGGATCATGAAGGCTATTTATACAGAGAGGCTACTGACTAACAAGGAACACGAGTCTAATCTTATGAAAGTTCGTATCTATAGTATGAATGTCATTTCTTGTGGCATTTATACGCCAAAAACAGTTTTTGCGTGTATATGGTACGTTTTTCGTGTGCATATGATACGTACTTTTTGCCGTATAATACGCACCCCCATCCCCCCTAAACCTACCCCAGGGTTTTTTTTTCCGTTTTTGACCATTTTTGGCATCTAAATGCCACGAGAAATGACATTCGTGGTATAGATACGCATCTTCATGAGACAATGTTTGAGTTTGTCCATATTTGACCCAAAATTGGGTTAAAACAACCCAGCATTTTTTAGAGTGTGTTTTTGTTTTGTGTTCAATTTTAAAGAACAGATGAAAAAGATGTACTGAACGTTCTGAGCTTTTGCACCAGGAAAATGTCTCGAGATAAACCGGTTTTGTTGATCTGCTTAGCTTTGCTTGGAACTCTGACAATTGTTGAGAATTGTTTCTAGCTTCTGACTTGAACCAAAAGTTGATTCTCAATAAGCTATTGTGCTTGGAGCTCTACACGAAGAGGCCTAAATCCTCTACAATACAATACAATACCATACCGAGTCTTAATATAGCATAGTGAGTTCTTCAATTCCTCTGGAAAAAGACAAGAGTTCAACAAAACCACTGTCCTGACTGAGACTGATAAAATAATAAACTGTTCTCTCGTTTTCTTTCCTCAAGTTTATGATCACTCGTTCAACCACGTTAAATGAATAATGTTAGATTACATTAGTACTCTGGTTCTACGCTTACGTAGCGCACCTTTTACTCTTTCATGTTTTCAATAAACGAAGCAAGTACTTTTGTCACCCTATACATTATTGAGAAGGGTTTATCATTCTTCGTCTTGTCCTTAAAGTCAATAATTTGTATTATATTTGATACATATTTTCTATCACTCTAAAAATTGCTAGGTTGTTTTAACCCAACTTTGGGTCAAATATGGACAAACCCAGCCATTGGGTAAACGTTTTTTCTTACCTTTTTAACCCAATGTTTGGGTTAGTCCATATTTGACCCAAAGTTGGTTTAAAACAACCCAGCATTTTTAGAGTGTATTATTGTTCTCATTATATGTGTCTGAAACGTGACTCACCTGTTTAAGGATGCCAGCTGCCATCTCATGACCACAGTCAAAGATCACATGAAACTCTTTTCCTCGTTTCATTTCTTTAAGAAGGGGCTTGGCATCTTTTGTGTCTGCTGGTAGCTGCCGGATTTTTAATCGGATGTTGTAACGAGAAGGAGCCTTGATGAGCTCCTGTAATCGAATCAGACCTAAGCAGGAGACAGAGAGAATATAAAGTAGGTTATTACAATATTACAGGAATAGTTCCAACCAAAAATGAAAATTCAGTTATCATTTTCCTCATCTTGATGTTGTTACATTTATTTATTTTTTTTCATGGAACACAAAAGGACAAGAATCACTTATATGGTCACTATCCTTTCATGCTTTAATGTGGACTATTTGGCATTAGGGCATTATTCCCTGTATTGTATGGAGAAGAGCAGTTTGGACAATCTATTTGTTTGAAAAACAACAACAACAACAACATTAAGCTAGTAAATGATGGCAGAATTGTCATTTGTGGGTGAAATTTCCCTTTCAATATACAACAGAGCATCTGAAATATAATTTGGAGCCATCTATATGAAAGCTCATTTCATGTAATTCTTATCTTTCTAAATAGAAGAAGTAGAAAGATACAGATAAACATATGGATGGATGTTTAAAGTCAAAATAAATTGGGGAAATGTAATTGTTACACTATAAAAAATACTGGGTTGTTTTAACCCAACATATGGACAAACCCAAACGTTGGGTTAAAAAATGTAATTAAAAATGTAACCCAATGGCTTGGTTTGTACATATTTGACCCAAAGTTGGGTTAAAACAACCCAGCAATTTTTAGAGTGTAAGCTGTATTTCCTCTCACTATCTACTTGCTCTCTTCTCTATTAACTTCTTTCCACTCGTGTCAATGAATGTAATGAAACTCCACATTCCCACTTCAAAAGGTCATCAGCTGAAAAGATTATATCTAGATTGGCCCCGAAAATCATCGCCCTAATTTGTTTTTCACACAACGAGTTGATCAACTTTACAGACCGAACAGCGCAAACCCTGTTTTGCCGTTAAAACGAATACTCTCAGGATTTACTAAAGACACGCAGTGAAAAAAGCGCTAAAAATGCGTGGAGAGGGTTATTTTTTGCGGGTGACGTTATTGCAATTGCATTTGTAGGAGTTTTGAAATGTATGGGACTGGAGTAAATGAACGGTGAAGTAAATTTGCTGGTTAATACACTGGCTCTGGTGGATTGTGTTGGTCTTCATGGAAATGATCCGGCTGCGTTCGTCACTCCCATCTGCGCTATTTCGGGATTGTGCTCTCACGCTTATTTGCTCTGTTTAGAAACTATTTCCACTTTGGTCCTGTCCCAAATCCCACAGCACTGTAAGGCACACACATCTGCTGTGGACTTAGAAAGACCGCTAAGGCTATTCGGAACAAGACATTTCTATTCAAAATATTTGTTTCCAACCTAAACTCCTGCAAAACTCCCAACACATCACTGAAATGAACACTAGTGGCAGTAAAACCAACAACCTTTATTTGTTTTCACACACACACAGTGACAGATTATTGATTTTTATAAAACGCATTGTTAGTTCCAGTCCTTGATTCTGATTGGTCAATACCTGTGTTTCTGTGCGTTCTATAGGTGCGCTCCATTCGACAGGGTCCCTACGCAGTGTTCACTGCTCCCTATTCCCTGAACACGGTATATCAGTTGAAGTGGACTTCACTGACTTCCTGTGAAGTGATGTATCGATGTTCCCTTATTCCCTATGCCGTTTGCAGTGCCCTTCGAACTGACCATGTTCGTTCCCTTCGAATTGGAATCTCACTTAAGATGGCGAAATACCCTTTGAAGTCCACTTCGCAGTCCACTTACGGTCGAATGGAACGCACCTTATGTATCACTACTCGACACCCCTAGCAACCACTCTTAGCAACGTAAACACATGTTTGTTCTCATTGATGGCGTCTCATAGAGTCTTGTGAGCGAGTGTACCTGCATTTACAGTACTTATCCGTGTTCACAAGTTTCAGTCATCCAATATAAAAGTCTTTTCTACTGACTCACACATTCATAAAGACCGTCCTTGCTACTTTCTAAAGGCGTAATAATGTAACTTCTGCTGCTGTTCATGGTCAGGGAGCTTGAGCTTGCTGTTACTGTGACATTAGATTTGAGGCTAAGGGCCCTATTTTAACGATCTGAAACGCAAGTATCAAGAGCAAAACACGAGTAACTTTGTGGGCGGGCCTTGGACGCTGTTGGTATACCATAGACATATACACTAGACGTCACCATGGCTACGGCAGTTCATTGGAACGAATGCGTCAATAGAGCCGCCATCTTGAAACAGGGGAGCCCCTCCACTTTAATGCATCAGCGTCAATGTAGTAGACACAGGTCTAACGGAAATAAAATCATCATGAATGCGATTTTTCTTTTTTTTTGGTTTGTTCCAATGGTCAGACATGTATTTATCATTGATTCTGATTGATTTTTTTTTTTTTTTAAACATTCTTCCTAGTTCAGATTTCATCCGTGAACATCATACGCTGCACAAAAGTCCGCCACCATCAATGAATTCAAGTAAAGGCAGAGATAGCAGCGTTACCTAGCTACTTCCTATGACAAGACCCCTGTTCCAAGATGGCGGCGGTTTTTTGACGCATGCTTAGAACCCCAAGGTGAGGTCTAATGTCTATGTTGGTATACAACCCAACCAGCAGGCGACCCCTGACCTTAGCAGTTTAGCCAAGCTGGGAGCCAGCAAACCATCTGCCTGGTTTGTTTGTTTGTTTGTTTGTTTCAGCAAGGCTGCTGATTCTGTACAGACACTTGAAGCACAGGTAAAATGTTTGCTACATAAAATAAGACAAAAATGACAAACTTTTAAAACGCACGTACACTGTAGAAGCACAGGTCATTTAATTTGCCTGCAGTGATGAAATGTTTTCGATAACTCATGAATACGGCTTCCTGAGGGTCACAGGATTGCTCTTCTACCTCTTTGCATACATGAAAAACTGCATGTGGTGATCTACGGACTGTGTCTAATACCTACACTGTCCAAAATGATATGATCAATAAGTTATAAGAAACTATGTTTTACATTGCATCAAAATAAGTAACTTTTTTATGTTATACAAGTTTCAACTGTCAGTTTAATGTAATTTAAAGGAGCTGTATGCAAGAAATTTAATTCGGGTTGCCAGCTCTTCTCTAGTTACCACAGCTGCAGATACACTGTAAAAATATTGTTGGTTTAACTTAAAGTAAGTAGCCTGGTTGCCTTAAAATTTTAAGTTGATTGAACTGGAAAAAGTGAGTTAATACAATGAAGGAGATTAATTTAACCATCAGAAACTCAAAATAATAAGTTCTGAACTGAATAAATTACTTAAGTCGATTTGACCAAAGAAAATATGTTGTAATAACAAATCTTGAAAATATATGTTTTACAGTGTACAGACGTGTCGGAATTGGATAAAAAAAAAATGTCTAACGTTGCGAAACCAAAAAATACTCGACATGAATCCGAAATACTTTGTGACAACGTCCGAAATAAATAATTAACAGAAAAAAACTCAATGTGTAGGACTCGTCACTTGCCATTGGCCTACGTTCCTGCTGGATCCTGCAGCATATCTGGCAACCTCGAGTTAAGGTGGAAGGGGGGATACACCCTAATCTGAAAGTGATTGCAGTACCAGTTTTGGCCACAATCTTGCATACAGCTCCTTTAAGTTGAAATGACTTCAACATCCAAGTTGAATGTACTTAAAACATTTAAGGCAGCAACTTTTGCTGATTCATATTTAACAAAGCATACTGTATTTCATCAGCTCAAACGTTTATTAAAACCGCTGTCCGGAAGGCCCGGGATAACTATACTCTTGGTTGACTGGTTCTCCTCTGGAAAAGTGCCGCTATTAGCCAGTGATGTGAGATGAATGCAACTTCCCGCTGGGATTAATTGAAGAGGAACGTGAAAGCTGAGTTCTCCAGACAGGAAGGTCAAGGTTAATATAGCCTTGACTGTATGAGCGTAATTATCTCTGACTAAATGTGTAGAGCAAATTGAACCAGATTAAAATTAGGTCACATGTATGACAAAATGCAAAGGTTTTACACCCTTCGTCGTAGAAACATCTAAACCCTTGTCTTGTTAATATCAAATGAATCCTGAGATCTGGAAAGAGTTTGAGAACTCCAAGAGCTCCTTCTGTAAAGTGATGAAGCAATGAAACCAATGTATTATTGTGCAGTTTCATCAACTCTTTTCAAATCAATGTTGGCTGACGGTCTTATAGCCTGCATTTAAAAACAAATATTTAAAGGATTTGGCTGGAATTATATTATCTTTAAGTTAAATTAAACTGTAATTTTACCCCAGGCATTATCATCCACTCATTTAAAAATGCATTATTAGTTTAGATTTAGGACATAAGCAGTGAAGAGGCTCAGATTACAATGGTTGGCATTAAAATGACATTAAGACTATGAATTATTCTGGGGCAATAAAAACGGACGTTTCAAAGCACCGGTTTTCAAAGCAATTATCAGGACATTACAGCAAAGGCCTCAGAAACGCGGCGTGTTTGGAAGCGTGGCGGCGCAGCTGTCTAAACTGTGTTGTGAACACGCTTACACACACACGATGGGCTGTGGAAAGGACTCCTGCACTCGAGCACAAACATTTGAAATGGATGAAATGTTTCTATGAACACAGTCTTGTTTCTGAAACATGAAGTTGGGTTGAACATATCAAACTGCATGTGTTTGTCTTTAAACAGCCAATCAGGCACTATGCAAAATTGATTTTAATAAGGCCACAAATGCTGTCGATTGAGCTTAACTTGTACCGTAAATATTAGGGATGTCACAATATATCGTGTCACAATATATCGCAATACAAAAATGCAACACGTATCGTTGAGTGACAATGTGTGCTTTGCATAATTCACCTAAAATTACAATTACTGTGTGAGAAAAAAAAGTTTACAGAGTTAAAGTGTTAGTACTACATTAAACTACTATATAGGATGTTGAATATAATGTACAATGGGGGGATATTAGTGGGTCCTGATAATGCCAAATGTTTTATGTTACACTCTCAGAAAAAAAGGTACAAAAGCTGTCACTGGGGCTGTACCTTTTCAAAAGGTACATTTTTGTAGCTTAAGGGTGCATATTGGTACCTTAATGGTATATTAGCACCTAAAATGTACATATCAACACTTAAAATGTACATATTAGTATGTAATGAACGACTGTAATGTAATGTAATGAACGACTCAAAAAAAGAGTCGTTCATTTTGATGAACGAGTTCGAACAGGAGAGTCGAGCAAGGGAAGCATTTGTGCTTATAAAACTTGTAAAACTTGAAATGAGCGATCGTTTCGCTTGATAAGGCCCTTATTCATCGCCTGGAATCATTTAAAGCCCTTTGAACAGTTTGCACTGAAACTGTCTTTTGGACCTTGAACCGTTTGGTTCCCATTGAAGTCCATTATATGGAGAAAATCCTGGAATGTTTTCATCAAAAACCTTCATTTCTTTTCAACTGAAGAAAGAAAGACATGGACATCTCGGATGACATGGGGGTGAGTAAATTATCAGTAAAAGTTTTTTTTTGTTTTTTTTTTTTAAAGTGAACTAGGCCTACTCCTTTAAGAGCCGTTCACTGAAAGGTTCTTTGGTTAAACCAAAAAGGTCCTTCCATCGTAACAACACAGTTTTAGAACCTTTATTTTTTAACGTCTATGGCATGTGAAAAATGCTGATTTCTAAGCCAACACTGAAGTGAACAGATGAGCAGTGTTGACAGAGCTCTGTGTTGCGGCTGCCAGTCCACGTCCGCCACTTCAGAGCGCAGCCGTTTGGGAATGCCATTATTGCTATCGATTTGCTTGTTTGCATTCGTTCATGAAGTCGTTGAACAGAGAGGACAGAAATACTCCAGGTGTGATTCTCAGACAGACTTAGGGACAACCACCTTTTGTCCAGTCAGTGTGTGTGAACATTTAACCATTCTTCTATCGGTCTTATTTTTACCTGTAGTTCATCGAAGCCCATTTAAAGTCTAGTTACATCTACATTTCTTCATTTAGCAGAAGTTTTTATCCAAAGGGACTTACACATAGTTACAAACAAGCGGGAAAAGTTGCTAAAATGTGTCCAGTCTCCATTACTAACTCAAAAATGTCACATTACAACTAATACTGGGTCGTCTGAGACGTTATTGGAGTAACGAGAAGCAAGATTGTGTGAGATTCATTTTATACGACAGTTCAAGAAATAAGAAGTTGACAAAAATAATTCCAAACATAGAAACAGCAGAACACCAAGTGTTTCTTTCCTGAATAATTCAGGGTTTTGTTGTTGTTTTTGTTTTATTTTTTATAGAAGCCTATTTCCGCCACTTAAAAAAGGGGAAAAAAAGTATAACTTGTTAAATCATTATTATGACACAAAAAGTCTAAATTATGAGATAGTAAATTGATATTGTGAGATACTAAGCCAATATTATGACATGACATTAAATATAAATTATGATATAAAGTCATAATTTAAAACTGTTATATGACTATCTCCGAATTTCAACTTTTTATCTCATAATTGTGACTTTTTATCGAAGAATTACACCTTTGCTTCTCATCATTTCAATTTGATGTCATAATTATGATTTACAACATATTTTTGTGTACGTGTAAGAAAAGGGCTTCCATAGTTATTGCACAAATCAGTTGAGTGAATGATTCACTGACTCTCGTTTGTGGCCAATACTTGTAAATAACTGTGTATAGATATCAATGAAAATGACTCAACAGAACAACATAATCGACACAATGTGCAGATTTACTGTAAGTGCAAAGCAAATAAAAATCTCTTTAATAAAAGTCTGGCTTTTGAGATGTAATATGGGAGAAATGGATTATAAGACACCACATGTGAACTTTTTATCAACGTTAATCAATAATACTTTCTATCAGTGAAATAATCAGTTTAAATAATTGTGTTTTTTTTCCTTTTTCATATAAATAATCAAATGTTCATTTAACTTTTCAATGTTATTATTAACAAAACGGTTAATCAGTACTAATAGTAACTAGTTTGTTTTAGTTACTAACATGAACTAACCATGAGCAATATATGTGTTACAATATTTATAAATCGTTGTTAATGTTAGTTAATACACATAAAGTTTGTTCATGTTAGTTGCAAGTGCATTAACTAATGTTAACAAGATTTTAATAAAGTATTAGTGAATGTTGAAATTTTATGAACACAATCTTGTTTCTGAAACAGGAAGTTGGGTTGAACATATCAGCATGTGCTTGTCTTTAAACAGCCAAAAGCCAATCAGGCACTATGCAAAATTCATTTTAATAAGGCCACAAATGCTGTCGATTGAGCTTAACTTCACTCTAAAAAAATGCTTGGTTGTTTTAATCCAATTTTGGGAATCCAATATGGACAAACCCAGCCATTGGGTTAAAAAATGTATTTTAAAAATGTAACCCAATGACTGGGTTTGTCCATATTTTACCCAAAATTGGGTTCAAACAACCCAGCATTTTTTAGAGTGTCGTGCCGTAAATATGAGGGGTGTAACGATATATATCGTGTCACAATATATCGCAATACAAAAATGATAGTGAAAATATGTATTGTGTATAATTCACCCAAAATTACAATTACTGTGTGAGAAAAAAAAAGTTTACAGAGTATAAGTGTTAGTACTACTATATAATGTTGAATACAATGTGGGAGTGAGTCCTGATTAGGGTTGGGTATCGAGAATCGAGTATCGATTGGAACCGAGACTAACTTTTCGTTTTTCCCGGAATCGTTCAAAAGTTAAAATTTCGATTTCTAGTTTCGATATTCACAGTCCGCCGAGTGGAAGAAGAAACCGCTGAACAACACCAACGAAGAAGCATCTACCGGAAGTGTTGGCATAACCACGAGAGTCGAACATGAGTACCTTACGTCGGCGATCCAAAGTGTGGCTTCACTTTTCTAAAAATAACGAAATCTCGGCAAAATGCAAATTTTGTGACAAAAGGAGTATTTCCTTCAGAAAGGCCGTTGGTTAGCAAGGTTGGCTAAACTTTTTTGACCCTGCCTCTTAAAAGAATCGGAATCGAGAATCGTTCGGAACCGGAATCGAAACAAGGAATCGCAATCGGAATCAGAATCGTTCAAATTCAAACGATACCCAACCCTAGTCCTGATAATGCTAAAGGTCTTCTGTTACCAGTATAAAGTGTCCAACATTACTTTAAATATATCTAGTGACAGAATACAAGCATATTAGTCTAAAATAATTCTGTATTTTGTGCTTCAGAATGATTATTAGTTATGAACCTTACTGTAACGTGTTACCCAAAGATCTTATGGCCACATTCATAAGAACACAGAGTCGCAGAATAGCATTGTGTTGTTGCTGTGCAGAATAGTGAATAAGGCTGAGTGAATGCTGTGGGGAATCTGGCAGCGGAGCCTGGAGTTGGCGAGTTTGCTCCCGAGGCGACCTCTGGCATATGGCACATGTAGCCCTCACCGCGAGAGCACTTGCTGCCTACGGTTCCAGCAGAGCCTGTCAACCAGCAGGGATTGGCCATACCGGAGTCCAGACGGAGACCAGGGAATGGTGCAAAGCCCGGGCCAAAGGGTCAGTCTGCCTGAGGACTGTTGGAGAATAATCAGAAAGCGTCGAGCTCTCACCTGTGCTGTCGTCGTAAACCACGGTGACCGTCTTCCACTTGAAGAAGTGAACCAGGTCTAAGATGGCTCTGCTGAGGGAGGAGAAGTCTGGGTAAAGGCTGACGTAGAAGGAGTCACGGTTGTCTGACACTTGGTGCTTCCACTTGGTCTGGATGTGCGGCACCCCGAGAGCGTTACAGATGGACTGCACCGCGTTGGCCGAAGAGCTGTGGGACGGGCCGAAGATGGCCGCCACTCCCAGAGAGAGCTGGTCACAAGCTGGAACAAGACAACGAGAAAGAGAGAAACATTACTGTACTTTCTGGGTTTCCAGAGTGGTGTTATAAAATAGGTGACACTTTATGTCATGGTGTAATTATACATTTAATTACCGAGTAATATTAATTAACAATATGTACTTAAAAAATTATCGTGATTTTAACGGTAAAAATGCTACAGTGTAAAACTGTTAATTGGTTAACAGAAAGTATCCGTACTATACACGGTAAATAACTGTGATAGATCTCATGGTACATTTAATGCAATTTTACTGTAAAATACCGTTAAATTTACAGCTTTTGAAATTTAAAAATAACAAATTGTATAATTTACAGTGAAAAACTGTAAATTGACATTTCCATAATTCCCTTTGTGCACTTCACATTTTATGTATTTTTGTTGAAATAACTGTTTCCTCATAGTTTCCTTGTTGTTGTTTTTTAATCAGTTATGTACATTAGGGTTTTGTTAATTTAATGCGGTTAAATTAATGTTTATTGCACTTTTTTATTAATCTTTAAATTAATGTTTCTGTGAATGACACTGTGCAGCTTCTTTATACAGTATAAGTATTATCCTTCTTGTGGAGGATTGCTTGTGATGAGCTGTGATTTATCACGTGACTCATCTCTGCTGTGATTGGTGGTTGTCAGTGTATTACAATGGTACAAAACAGATATCAACACTTCAAAAGTTTGGTAAATTAACATTATATCAGATAATGAAATACGGTTTATTACTGTAAGTTTTAAGTTAAGTCTGTAAAGCCAATAACGTTGCTACCGTATTTTTGACAGTAAATTCTGGCAACCACAGCTGCCAGTTTTTTTACCGTAAAAACTACGGTTTTATTTTTTACAGTAGGATTGGGGTTTGGTTGAGGGTTAGTTGCATGTAATTATGCATAATTTACTGTGGTAAGTACAGTACATGTAACTAGGACACTGTAAAATAAACTGTTACCTCAAAATATAATATAATGGAGAGCAGTGGCTTCATGATGATCTCTTCCCCTTCGTGGGCTGAAAGTTTACATACATTTCAGTGTGTTAATAGTTATGTAATAATGCTACTCTGTTTGGTTTGCTACTGTGTGGCTACTATGGGACGCTTGTTGACCATCGTAGTGAGCGAGATCAAAATTAGACGTGGTAAAACCAGCCCGGTCTCATCCCAAGGCGTCATATAGTGACGATTTTGACATTTCGTCTACATCCGACGCACATGGCACCCTTTAGCGTCAATATGAGACGCAGATATATATGGGCCAGAAGGCGCCTCCTAGTGGTGTAACCCTAACCCTACCCCAGACCTAAACCTACCCATAACCGAAGCGTGTTATATTGATGCTAAAGGGTGCCATGTGCGTCGGATTTAGATGAAATTTCAAAAGAGTCACTATTTGACGCCCTAGGATGAGAATGCGTTGGGTAAAACATGGTACTCGCGGTAAATCAACAAAACCAGATTTAAACAGAAAGGCAGGTCTTGATGCCCAAATCCAATTTTCTGACTATATCTGATTTTTTTGACGACCCGTTTACATCATATTTTAAAAGTGACCCGTATCCGATTTTTGCATTTACACTATACACTGCTGAAACTACCAAATGGACCATGCAGTGGAAATGAGGCCAAAGAGTGTGTTGCGCTGTATAACTAGGGTTGGGTATCGTTTGAATTTGAACGATTCTGATTCCGATTCCGATTCCTTGTTTCGATTCCGGTTCCTAACGATTCTCGATTTCGATTCTTTTAAAAGAGGCAGGGTCAAAAAAGTTTAGCTAACCTTGCTAACCAACGGTCTTTCTGAAGGAAATACTCCTTCTGTCACAAATACTCGTCACAAATTTTGCATTTTGCCGAGATTTCGTTAATTTTTAGAAAAGTGAAGCCACACTTTGGACCGCCGACGTAAGCTACTCATGTTCGACTCGCGTGGTTATGCCAACACTTCCGGTAGACGCTTCTTCATTGGTGTTGTTCAGCGGTTTCTTCTTCCGCTCGGCGGACTGTGAATATCGAAACTAGGAATTGAAATTTTAACTTTTGAACGATTCCGGGAAAAACGAAAAGTTAGTCCCGGTTCCAATCGATACTCGATTCTCGATACCCAGCCCTATGTATAACAATGATTAGTTTCTGTTGATGAATGTCTAATAAAGCACATAATATATTAAAGCGTCTATGATGTTTCCATATTTTCTAGTAAAACTGTAAATCGAGGATAACGCGGGTATGATGTCACTGATAGCGTGTCCTGGTTAAACTGCTTATTTCTCTTGATTTAAACATTCTTAGAAACATTTGGGATACTGTAAGTATACAAATCAACTAAATATAAAACATTTTGGATAATTTAATGCCAAAATCTTACATAGTTTGCCTTTAACTTTTTTGTATTTGATATTTTGTTATCATAGAATGTCGCAATACTTTCGTTGTCCAAAATAATATGTATTCCAAACACTGAACTCGTTTGCTTTTATTACCCATAATTATTTTGGCAACGCCACTGTGTTTTAATTGCATCTTTGTAATCTTTAAATAAACTTGCATGGAAAAAAAGTTCCAGTGGCAGCGGCTAATGGAGTGTGTAATCATTATAAGAGAATTGAGATGTTCCCCCAGCGTGTGAATGACATACGATCGCAGCCTGCAAACCTGTCTCAGGGGTATCAGTAGTTCACTGCTGATTACCTAAAACCAATCAGTTCTCTGTGCATATGCAGCAGACGGCTATGATGTCCCCGAGGGGTTAAATAAAGCCCTCCTCGTACAGTATATCTCTCAGCGTGAGGAGGACGAGTCGGCTTTACCTTTCCTGGAGGCCTCGAAGCTGTCGTGGATGTTTATCCTCTGGATGTCGTATGTAAGTGTGGTGTTTGGCAGTAAAGTTCTGTTCCTGTTGATTGTATTTAAAGCAAACTTAAAGGCAAGTTCTTCAGCACCTGATGGGCCACTCTCGATGGACTCAAATATCCCCCCTAAAAAAGAGAATAAAGAAAAAAACAGTATTAATAACCTGCTACCGTATGGCCTCTTGACTTCTTGTTGAATTAGAATAGAATAGAATAGAATAGACTACACTCATTGAATAATATAATATAATATAATATATACAATTAATAAAATATAATATAGAAGATCCAATATAGAAGATACGTGACAAAATATTCAAACATAATGTAACTGTGCAGATTTGTATACTTAATTATTCAAAGCCAAAGTTGCTTTATTTTCTATTTCTGTCATATAACAAGAAAAAAAAATAACTTGTTGACACCAGTAGATAATCTAGTGAAAAGATAAGTATACAGAGTACTTATTACACCAATAATATACTTTAAAAGAATATGCTATTTAGTTTATATTTATATTAAATGCATTTATCTGAACTTTAAAGAGCTTTTTGTGAGGCTTTATGTAATTTCAGAATTGCATGATAAGGTAAAAGTGCACATCCAAGCATTTATACTTTAATGTAATTTATAAACTTGTATGTCATGGATTTATAAATATATTTGTAATGATGAAGTTGCAGTTTAGTGCATTTTAAATATATTAACTTTAAATGCAATATAGTACACATATCAAAATACAGTATGTGTACTTCCTTAAAGCACAACAGCTCTAACCCTAACCCTAAACTTTAAAACAATGATTTTACATGTACTTGATACTATATATGTTAAAAACGTAGCCATGAAAGTTGGCTTTCTTTAAGTTCATTTAAGTGGCCTTTTATTTCATAAATAATATATTATCTACAAGTACAGTTCACAAAAAGAGGTGGCAAATAAATAAAAATTTTAACAAATTTTGTAGTGCAAACTTGAGTGTAGAAATTCAAGAACAGCAAAATCGCCGGTTTAGTGCGGCGAATGTCAAAGAACAGTGTAATGTCAGAAGTTGGAAAGGGGAAAAGAAAATCACTGCTTGCTTTGGCTCGACCCATTCGAGTGTATAATAGATATATCCAAGCTCTTAACAGAAGGTATGTTTTTAGAGCACTTGACAGGCTGTATATGAATGGATGCCTTTAGTGTTGGGGACTGATGTGTTCTGATTGGCCGGCGAATCAATCAATCAAGCCCTGGGGAGCAGTGAAGCACAGCACGGAGAGATTGAAGTGTTTTGCTTGGGTCAGTCAGCAGTTTGCCCCTGTTGACTCGCCATATGTCAGACTAGAGCTCGATTCAGTGTTTTACTTACACTCGCTGGAGGCTCCATCATTTAAATGATCCCTCAAGACAGAGCGAATAAAACCATTTCACCGCCACACACAACTCTCTGCTGGTGGATATTAAAAGGTGTAGGACAAGGACAAGTATTATTAATAATTGTTGTTTCAACACCTACAGCAAATTGTGACAATTCTTGTTTTTTAGATTGAAAGAAAAAAATAAGCTTTAAGAAGTTAAGAGCAATAATTGTATCAACTTACAGGTTATGAAGTTTATTATAGCTATCGCCGCCTTTTTTATGTCATTGTGCCTGTTAAAGTACTGGGTATGACTTGACAACAAATACAACACTCTACTCCACTCCTCATATACATAAAATATTAGCCTTTATATGTAGTGTTTCTTAAGTAAAGAAATGTGCTTTGCCTATTAAAAAATCAGTTCTTCATTCACCTTTACATTGCAAACCATGCAAACGGTGTGCGAAACTTCATTCATGAGAGATGGCTGGTTTGACTGACAGTCTCCATTTGACTGACAACCAATCACATGGCAGTTGCTTCAAGGCATTTAGGGGACGTGGTCCTGCTCTCAATGTTAAGTGGGTGGAAAAAAACTCCTTAATCTTGTATTTGGGTCAAAAATGGGCACCCATAGAAATGAATGGGAAAAACTGTAATTTAGAGCATAAGAACTTATTGGAATGATATTTTATTATAGTTAAACAAATTTAAAAAATAAAACATAAAAATAAGCATAATTTACATAGAAAATATGGTACTTTTTGAAGTAAATAAATTTAAAAATACCCCCAAAATAAAAAAAAAACCCACCATAAATGGATAGACAAAACTTTATCGAAGACAGTGATATAACATTTATAATAAATAAAAATTAGGATCACACCTGAGTCGTCTGTGCCCACATTTGTCCACAATTACAGGATTAAGGGCTATAAAGTGAATACGGTTTGAGGGCTACAATTCTCACAATTTCACAATTGCAAGTTTACATCTCGCAATTCTAAGAATTGCAAGTTATAAAGTCAGAATTGCATGATATAAAGTATAAAAACATCACAAGTTTATTTCTCCACAATTTTGATTTTAAGACACGCAATTCTGACTTTATAACTTGCAATTGTGAGAAATAAAGTCAGAAATGTGAGATAAAATGTCGCAGTTACCCTTTTAATTGTTTATTCTGTGGCGGAAACAAGCTTCAATAGAAACAGCTATTTTACATTGTAAAAACACTTCCTAATATGACTGTTTTTACTGTATATTGACCAAATAAACACAGCCTTGGGGAGACTTTAAATGAATATTTATTGGATGTGCATCCCACAAATCTCCATGAACTGCAAGATGCTATCCAATCAAAATGGGCCAACATTTCTAAAGAAGGCTTTCAGCACCTTGTTGAATCAATGCCACGAAGAATTAAGGCAGTTCTGAAGGCACTGAGGCAGGATTGAAGCAGAGAGCGAATCCAAATGCAAGCTCTATTTTAATAATAATGATAATACAAAAGGGCAATCCAGAAGCTCAGAACAGGAACAATGAGCAAGCAACAACGACCAACAAACAACAACTGAAGAACAGAGGTATAAATACACAGGAAAATAAGCTAAACAAGACAACAAGGGGGCGGGGCTAATCAGACACATATGGGAACAATCATCAGACCATTAACAAGACACAAGAATCACATGACAGACAAGAACAAAATAAAGTGTTGCCAAAAAAAGAGTCAATTCTAATGTAAACTGGATTCTGTAAAAGTAAAAATAGCTGCAGATAAATGATCAGAGAGGAGTTGGAACAAATCCCTTACAGCATTTTCTTTAAAAAGAAGTGAGAAATGAGATGCTGGTACAAATTTCTCAGCCTTTTACAAAAGAGAAAGATAAAAAAAAAAAAATCAAACAACCATCCCTTGTGGATTTACTATAAAGTAAACAAAATATCTCTGTGTTGTTACTTTTGAGGAACTGTGTGTTTCAGTTTAAAACGTGTGTCTGAGGTTTTAGTCAATGTTTACTACCAGCACTATTCATGGTTACATCATTTCATAAGGTTTCCCATTGACTCAAGTGCCTGATATATAACAATGTTTTATATAATCCATAACTTGTCCATAATCAATGTGTTTCACCTTTTTTGGTAACACTTTATTTGAAGGGGTGTGCATAAGGCTGTCATGAAACTGTCATAAACATGACATAACACCTGTCATGAACATGAAGGAGTCTTTATGAATGTTTATGACTGTTGTCATTAAGTGTCATTCGGTAAATTATGACACTTTAAATGCAAAGTTGACATTGTTTAAAATGTCTTTGTTATGACAACTTGACATTAACAAAGACAGAAATGTGTTTGTTATGACAACTTGACATTAACCAAGAAATCATAACCTGTCAACCTGATATCTTTATAACTAGTTCAACGTGTTCCACTTTACTTGAGGTAAGGGGAAATATTAATGACACTGTTGTTAAAGCATTTGACAGTGTAATAACCCATAATGACATCATTATAACTAGTACAAAGTGTTTCACTTTACTTGAAGGACAAGTCAAATATTCATGTCACAGTTATAATGGTGTCATCATGACAACCAAAGTTAAAACCAACCATAACACATGATAGGGTAATGTAATGTTAACACATTACAGGTTAACAGGTAATGATTTCTTGGTTATGTCAAGTTGTCATAACAAATACATTTTAAACAATGTCAACTTTGCATTAAAAGTGTCATAATTTACCGAATGACACTTAATGACAACAGTCATAAACATTTATAAACACCCCTTCATGTTCATGACAGGTGTTATGTCATGTTTATGACAGTGTCATGTCAGTCTTATGCACACCCCTTCAAATAAAGTGTTACCGTTTTTTATGTGAAATGTCTTGAAGAAACAGTCCATCCATCAATTTTCCTGATTTGTGTTTTCTCACATGTAGCTTTACGATGCTGTAAAGTTAACTTATAGATTTTAGATCATATAAAAAATACAATATACAAAAACTAACTTTGGATTTGCAACAAGCAGTATAAAACAGCATGAAGTGCATTTTCACTATGAATGCTTAAAATCCGCTATGTGTTTCAGTACTGCACTGCGATACAGAAGCAGAAATATTGATTATTGCATGAATACAAACGTAAGGTCACTAGAGGTCATCAACTGACATTCTCTGTAACAGACAGACAATGGACAGCTAACAGCAAACTCTCCCCCAGGAAAAACATTCACACATTAAATATCCATCATCCATCTCGTAACTCATAGGGCAAACGCTGACAGTGATAAACTGGGGTTTGAATGACATGATGAATCATTTTCAACTGGGAAATGTCAGTTTCTCATCAAGATCTCTCAAGCACATGACAAATCTGGATTTTTCCATCACCAATCAGTCTCTGTCTATATGTGGTTTCCAATGACATGGACAATTTAGCCACTGACCGTTCGCATTCACCATCTCTTTCTTTATAAATTGGGCGAGTTGTCAGACATTTTACTCAAGATTCTGATACAACTAATAACTTATTTTATTTGAATATTTTAACTGTTTAGTCATATGGAAAAATCAATGAGTGCTTTAGCTTGTCTGTGTTCCGGGCCGCGTCCGGATCAGATGGTGGACCTGAGCCTCCACACGGCCACAACACATCCCTGAAGTGTCAGCAGAGATTGTGTCAACTAGACTCGACAGATATCAACAAACTCGTCTCCATACGCACGTGATGACTTCGATCTTAAACCAGATGAACGTTTAATATTC